CATGTGACAGTGGAGGTGTTGAATGAAGCTCCTTCCTACTAGTAGTAGCAAGTGCATCGCTACTAGTAACAAGTGCCTTACTCCTAGTAACAAGTGCATTACTACTAGGAGCAAATAGCTACTAGTAGCGATGCCCTTGTTACTAGTAGCTTCTTGCTACTAGGGGAGTCTGGTTGGTTCTTTTTTGTATTCTTGCTCCCAAAAAGGAACATCCCAAAACAACCATCGACCCGGGGTTGATCCTGGGGAGGCACTCCAGACAACTCACCCACCAGACACATCCCGATTTTTTCCGCGTCGCGCGCCACAAAGCGCGTGGCGCACCACCAAGGAAGGAGTCGTTAGCCTCACGCGTGGCGCTGAAGAGCTCCAAACCTCCTGAGGGTTCCGTGACCCCGGAGCCCGAAAAAGAGGAGGAGGCGCCATGGCAGTCACTTCGTGGTTTTGCGCGACGTGTTGGGTAGGGTACCTTACAGAGAGGATTCAGATTGTGTGGGTGTGGATGGGAGACAACAGGTCATTTTCGGGAAAAGCTCCAAAGGAAGTGGTCGGAGAACCGAAGGTTTTCCGTATCAAACGCTTGCTTTCGCTTGGCCTGGCCCTCTTTGCTGCGCAGGAGGTCATGGTTGACGATCTCTGAGAACGCTTGGCATGTCCCGGACAAAGGCCTGACCATTGACAAAGCCCAGCATTTTGGTGGCTAGAAAAGACCAAAAGGTGATTTGGCTAAACTATGCTAAACTCGATTGAACCAATTGTCTTCTCCCACACCCTGGATCCTTCGGATGCTTCGGATGAAGCAGTGATTCTTCTGCCCACACACACAGCCTACTAGGAGCAAGGACGCTACTAGGGGCTCCTGGCATCGCTACTAGGAACAAGTGCATCGCTTCTAGTAACAAGTGCATCGCTTGTAGTAACAAGTGCCACGCTACTAGGAGGAGTTCTTTAGACCTCAGAATTCCAGTCTTGGAAGCGACGCTCGATTGGAGCATCTTTGTTCGGGGCAGGCAACTGGTTGACCTGTACATATGCCACGGACCAGTCGGAAGCGACCGGGGAAAAGAGCACTGACTGCTCACAGTCACCAGCAGCCACTAGTATTACGTACCATTTCCTTGGCTCTGGTATGTTTATGTATGACTGGTGTGACCGTTAGCCAGTCGTTGCACCGCATGACAACGGGCTGAAGGGTCATCAATTGATATCCAAACCACTGTGATCATACGCCCTTGCAGGACGAGTTTGTTCCATCTTGGTGGAGTTTGCGCAGCCACGTATTTGTGTCTTCCATCTGTGTATGGAGATGCTCTTCTTGCACTGAATTCTGGATGGTTTGGTGAACACCACATACCGCCATACCGCCCTTCTTTAACATGATCACCATCACCCAACATGTAGGACCAAGTACGGATTCGATCGGAACCAAATAGCTCCCAGAAGAGAGTCGAAATTCACTGTCAAGCTGCTTGAGTCAAACGGAACATCAACCTGACGGGTGTTTCAGCCGCGTCGCCCAGACCAAGCCCTTGGACCCAGATCTACATAAGTCGAGGATTCCCAAAGAAAAAACACGTCCTGGTAAATGTCGGAAGCATTTCCTTTGGCTTGTTCCAGCAAGAAGGACCTGGGATTGCTGAGACAGTAACACGCCGATTTCGCAAAAGCCCCGACCTGAATTGACCTCCAGGTTGCGGTGGTCCAAGCAGAAAAGGAGTGGGGCGGCGGAGATTCGCCCGTGCCCCCAGGTGCAAGGCAGCGTCAAGCGATTTCTTCTTTGGGGCAAGCGGCAGGAGCCTCCACTTTTGGAGATTGGGGTGAGAGTTTTCGGGGAGCATCAACATGTTGGTCTGTTTGTCAAAGAAGCATGATGGTGATGGCATGTTCATCGATGTTCATCGTTTCTGATGACCACGACATGATCGACATGGGGTTTCTCTCCTGCGAAGACAGAAAAACGACCAACCGCGGTGCTTCAAAAGAAACCCTTCGTGGGTCACCCCAGCAAGTCATGAAGCTAGTCACCTGGGCGCTTGAAAACAGTCCTGATCTTTTTGGCAGCGATGTTCAAGGAGCTGGACTTCATGGCATGCCCAGGGATGGAACATCCCTTGATCTTTGTTTTACGTATGGGTGAATCGTGGGTGAATCCCAGCAGATCCAAATCCAGATTGACATGCACCTTTGGGTGCAAATTGGGAGATGTTGGGACGACGCTGCGTAAGAAGGTCAAGCTGGGTAAGAAGTTTCGTTTTGGGATGTGAACAGTGCGCTGCAGGGGGTGCTGGATGACTGAGCTACATCATGGCCTTTGAACTCACTTCAAGCATTAAAGTGGACAACCTTCGGTTGGTAGAAGCCAGTCTTCCAAGCACCCTGTGCCCCCTCTATGTTGGTTTTCTTCCGGACCACATTGGCTAGCTGGAAAAAAGTGGAACGCCCTGTCCTGTCCCCAAAGTCCTGTCCATGTTCGCCCATGCAAAGGGCATCGCTACTAGGAGCAAGGACGCTACTAGTAACAAGTGCATCGCGTCTAGTAACAAGTGCCTTACTAGTAGTAACAAGAACGCTACTAGGGGCTCCTGGCCTTACTACTAGGAGCAAAGGGCATCGCTACTAGGAACCCGGGCATCGCTACTAGGGGCTCCTGGCAGCAGACAACACCACGCATGCCCGAAAAACACACCCTGCGCGTGCTCGGTGTGACATCGAGGTCCTCTGACTCATCGTCCTCCGAGTTGGCAGGTGTTGAAGGGAGTGGCAGGTGTTGAGGGTTTTCCAGCAGAAATGTAGAGCAACATTTCAAACGTATGAATTCACCATTTGTGCAGTCTGGTGGTAGATCTTCAAGAATACAAGCACTTGCTTAGTAGGTAGCCACATTCCCTTCTGACCTTTGCCAGCCTTCGGTCTCGGACATAGACAGCAAGTCACGCCCAGCTCAGGGGGGATCCTCCCGTCAGGTGTACGCCCCGCCGGTCTCGGTCCCAAAGCCCGAACCGATCGGAGCAGCGGTGACGCTTCACCCCTCGGGAATAGCGCACGAGCACCTCGTGCACGAAGACCTGGAACCAAGTAGTAACAAGTGCCACGCTAGTAGGAACAAGTGCCTTACTAGTGGTAACAAAAAGCTATTAGTAACAAGTGCCACGCTACTAGTAACAGGTGCCTTACTAGTAGTAACAAGAAGCTATTAGAAACAAGTGCCACGCTAGTAGGAACAAGTGCCTTACTAGTGGTAACAAAAAGCTATTAGTAACAAGTGCCACGCTACTAGTAACAGGTGCCTTACTAGTAGTAACAAGAAGCTATTTGAATTAAAATAGAGTTACATTGAGGTGATTGGAAGTGTTTTGCGCCACGCCTGCGCCGGCCTCTTTGGTTGCTTGCAGCTTGTGGCGCGAACGTCGCCAGGGGGTCAATTGGCCGATAAGATGTCAACGGCCATTACCAGAGATCTCTCTTTGTACATGGAAAACCTCTACAACACCAAAACGTCGTCGCCTCAGCTTCAAAATCGTCCATCTCTCAGAACCCTCCGCCACTGAATTTAGCCTCCACGAAACGCACGAACTCCACGTCTTTCGGCACGTCGCGTGCTCCACACGTCTCCCCCCGACACATCGCCACGTCGAACGCGACGGGACGCCCGCCATGCCGTGGGGAAGCGGTGGTGGCAGCAACAGGCGGCCGTGGGGCGGCCGTGGGGCGGCCGTGGCAGCAACAGGGTGGCATCGTCTTTCCTTTTCAGTTCTTCTCATGGTTTCAACATGTTTCAACCATGTTCAACCATGATTTGTAATGGCTTAGCAAAGCATTTTTGGTTGATATTTTTGCTGACAAACTTCTGCAACATCCTATGTGATGCAGGCAGAGCCATTCACGTGCCGGAAGCCTCCCAGAGGGACGGCCACAAGCTCCGTTGTCCGATAGGCCATTTCAGACCTACATGGAACAAGGGCTGAAGGGCTTCTAAAGGCTGTATCGAATTGTCCATCGCCTCTCAGGACTACCCAGGACGTGCCAAAGAGAACGTTCGGCAGTTTCACCCTGAACAGATGGCTGAAGTACCCAAACTCAAAGCAACAGAACTGGTGCTGATGACTTGTCCTTGTCACCCTGAACACGAGATGCACAATCCTCGCCACAGGGGCAAGCTTGGCGGCAATCCTGGCAGCATCAATAGGACTGCTGGCGTGGTTTGCGTGCGTTTCTGAATCTGGTGATGCAATGAGAAGCAATTGGAAGAATTCTCTCTTCAGCAGCTGGATCTTTGATCAAGCTATCCTAGGAATGAAAGAAGCCTTGACTTTGCAACAGGATGGAAGAAAGACTCGTACGTTGTCTTCTTGTCATCACTCCGAAAAAGCTCCGCCAATCTCTGAACCCCACCAGGAATGCGGGGGACTTGCCCCCGGACACGTCAGAGGCCGCGTCAGCTGAAACTGGAAGCACGTAGCAAAGACCTTCAGTCAAAGACCCAGCCACCATGTTTGTGGCTGTGCCATGTTCGAAACTGGGGCAGGGGGTACAACGTAACAAGCCCCAAACCATCACCTGTGATGACTTCCTGATGTTTCACCTTCAGTTCTGTTTGAAGCAAAGCCCGGAACAAAAAACAGACCCTGCCTGAGGTCCCATATCCTGACCGCTCAGGGCCACAAGCCGGCCTCCTTGAATCTGACGGCGGTACTCATGGGGCGTGGTGCCCGCATTGCCTCCTCACAAGGTTCGCGCGGGTTCGGTTTGGTTCGGTGTCCTTACGTTGGACGCCACGAACGCCACGAGTTGCATCGAGCGACTTCTTCAGCGAAAGGCAGCAAGTAGGCAGTAGACATCGCGTGTTCAATAGCCTAGGCAAGTGCAAACTGGACAATAAGTAACTTTTTCATAATAAGCTACTAGTAACAAGTGCCTTACTAGTAGTAACAAGAAGCTAGTAGAAACAAGAATTAAATAGGTAAAGATGGGAAGTGTTGATGGGAAGAAGGGGCCAATCTTTTCGAGACCTGCCCTGCACGAGCCACGTGGTGCTTCGCTACCTTCCCAGTCGCAAGCTTTGGAAGGTGAGAACTCCCTGTTCTAGGCTTTGAACTGATTAGTTTGGAAGAGTGGATTCTGAAAGCTCCAAAAACAATATAGATTGACTCGTGGTACCTTTATGCACCCCTCCCTCCCTCCCTCAGCTCATTCATTCATTCGTTCATTCGTTCGTTCGTTCATTCGTTCATTCGTTCATTCATTCATCCTATCCTAGCACTGGAAGAATTGAAAAGAAAACATAGAATTCCTAGTTTTCACTGGCTTCATCCTGGTTCTGCCAAAACCGGCAGGCATCAATGCCCACCGCCCGAGTCCGGCGGCTCCGGGCACCTCGCACGGGAGACCCAGAGTACTTTGCCAACTGCCACGTGCGGCACATGCGCATTGAAGCTCAAACAAGCTAAAACGCCAAGCTTTGTTTCTGTTGGGTCTGTTGTAGAGCAACATTTGCCTTGGGGCGGTTTATTTGCTCTGAAAAACTAGTTGGTCCTATTGGCTTCCTGAACTGACAAACAGAAACCACGCACGCAATTGGTTCGCAGTGCTGAAGTAGTTCTACATCCTTGAAGGTATTATATACGCAGCACTCCAGCAGTTTATGATAGTTTATGTTTTCTTGCATATTCTTTTTACATGTTTCTATTTTTTCACGCTGCTTGCATCATGATTCATTCCGTATTGTTTGCTGAGGAATTCACTAAGGAACACCGCCAGCTCAGTAGTTTTCTGTTTCTGTTAAATGTGGTCTAAAAATTTCCAAATTACATCTCTTCTCACTTTTTTTGCAGGGCCAACTCAGTTTTCTAGCACAAGCTCGGTGCCACTCCAGCCGTAGCTATCTCATACTATTTCCGTGTGATGCCATTTCTGATTAACATTGAACGAGCTATCTGAGCAAAATTCCGGAAGTTAATCCACACAAGAAGCTTGGCCAATTGTTTGCACCAACAATCGGAGACCCTTTTTTCATCTGTTTTTTCTCTCAGCTATGCTTCTCTGGAGCTCCAAACGTACGCCTGGGCGGCGCGGCTCAGCTATGCTTCGCTCAGGGGCTCCAGCCTCTCCCCGGAGTTTAAGTTGCCGGAGTGGATCAAGCCAGACGCCCACATCTGCGGGGCAGCCCACGTCGGGGGGGGGGAGGGCATCTGCGGCGACGATTCGCGGGAGCTGAAGAGTTCGACGCTTTGCGCTTTGCGTTTTTGAGACTTGTTACTAGTAGCGGTGCACTTGTTACTAATAACTTCTTGTTACTACTAGTAAGGCACCTGTTACTAGTAGCGTGGCACTTGTTACTAATAGCTTCTTGTTACTACTAGTAAGGCACCTGTTACTAGTAGCGTGGCACTTGTTACTAATAGCTTCTTGTTACTACTAGTAAGGCACCTGTTACTAGTAGCGTGGCACT